AGCCCTGATTTCATATTCTTAATAGTCTAAACTCTAACCCGTTTTGGAAAGCTTATCCTGGACTCAGAGTCTCTATCTTTAGGAAATAACATTGATCAAAATAAGTAAAAATTCTCTGTTAAATGTAACAATACGACATAAAGCTTTCAGCCTGAATTAAGAATATGGGGAGATAAATGATTTGTAGAATTTTAGTCCTTTGTTAAAAACCAAGGAGAAGAAATTACACATACATTATGTGTTTTGTTTTCTGAAAACAGACAACTGCTGAAACCAAAGAGCAAAATAAAAAAGGACGATGACTTCCTAGATCACACCCACTCCCTGGCTCTCTCACCCACACGTCCCACGTGTGACTTCTGCCCGGCATGCACCCGCCTTGCTCACAACGCGGGCTCCCAGGGTGACCTGTTGGGAGTGAGGGAACATTTGGGGAGGGGACCCAGGACTGGCATCACAGGTGCCCACGGTTTTCCGGAGTTTACTTTGGATTACTTGTCAGAATGGTTTTAGTTCTCTCCTCAGAGGAGACAGACTTGAAATGAATTTCAGGTGCTTTCAGAACAAAAGCGCTACCCATTTGCTTTTCAGTCTTCGTCAGAGCTGCACAACGGATTTGGAGGCAAATACAATGCAAGTAACTTTCTCCAAGATGAAAATCTTTTTGTTTCTTCCAGGCTTTTCCATTTGGTGGCCGGGGAGGAAATAGTATCCTGAGGGATTCCGGAAAACGTGGGCCATTGCGCCCACACTATTGCTCACTCACGCTGCATTTGCTACTGTGTTCCTTAACACATTGTCTTCTCATGGAAAAGGAGCCCCAAATGCAACCCTTCTCCTGAGACACAATCTTCATCTACACCAAGATAGAATGAAGTTGTATAGATGTTGCTTTTTAAATATACTACAGCTTGAAATAATTAAGCTTTTTTCATCAGATTAATTTTTCTAGAAACAACGAATAAAGCTTGTGCTAACATCCTGCCCTACTCTTTTAAAAAGAATATAGTGCCATGCAATTGAGGAAGGAAATGAGACCGTTTGCCCTGTCCTGCCTCACTAGTTATAAAAACCACACTTTTACAAAAGGTATATTGAGCCACTTCAATTGGCTTCACACAGAGTTAGCTTAATGGCCATGATGTAAGATAAACTTCATGGAATAAACTATGTCCACAGCCTTTTCCTTACTCCTAAATTTGGTGGGTAAGTATAATACATTAGTCTCCAGGCTGGAGGCACACAGCTGTAAGCTCAGCACTCAGAAGCCTGAGCCAGCAGCATCACCCTGAGTTCAAGCCCAGCCTGAACTACATAGCAAGACCTTGTCTTGTGGCATTATCTCCCTAGTGTAAGAACCTAAAAGAGTAAATACAATCCAAAAGGCATAATAGATATTATGAAAGAGAAAAAAATTGACCAAAGGGAAGGAACAACTGGGATGAGGGCAAGGAGAGAGAGAGAGAGAGAGAGAGAGAGAGAGAGAGAGGGGGGGGGGCGGTGAGCCAGCACAGTGGATTAAGCACCTGCTTAGGCAAGCCCAGGGACCAAGATTTGATTTCTGCCACCACTTCGCACTGGCCCTGCCCCTGGGCATGCTGAGCTACCAACACCGGACATGGTGGCACACGCCTGTAATCCCAGTGCTGGGGAGGCTGAAAACAGGAGGATCACTGTGAGTCTGAGCTGCGTAGTGAGACCCTGCACCAAATACATAAAAAAGTATATATACATGATAGCTTGGATAACTATATTGCTACTTTCTATTGGTCTATTGAAAGGAACAGTTAATGCTTAAATTTATTTTCTTTTTAGTTTTATTTTTTTTGGCTAATTTTGCATGCCTATATCTGGTAATCTGAGCAACTAATGTGAATACAACAATATGCAATATAACAGTCATTGTTGAATTGATATCATCTTGTTTAGTGAAATGTTTCTAATTATTTGAACTACTCTTTTATTTTCTTTAAAAAGTCAGATACTTCAATAAACAGTAGCTGACAATGGAAGTAACAATATAGTAATAAACCACATGTCCTGTATGTTTCCTCCATCTTCCCCTCATCACATGGTTCATTCATTCTTCATTCATTCATTTACTCAGGACACTAGGATCAAGTGTACATGCCAGGCCAGAATAAGTGCTAATTTCTAAGCATATGGTTATGAAGAGACCAATGTTCATTTTCAGGAAGCTGCTAGGCTTGCTGAGAAGAGTTTAAGTGCTAAATCCATAATTTGATGACATAGCAGAAGAGAAAATGGAGAAAATATAAAAGATTGCTCAGGCATTTAACAATACTATATTTGCACACAGAAGGAACCAGTGGCCTATTTTCAACTGGGAAGTCTGCTCCATATCCTTCAGGACTTCCTACTTGAAATTCAGGTTTTGGAAATGAAAGGTGAAGTAGGAGACTGTTCTGGCAAAGGGAGTAACTCATACCTATGTGGTTGTCCCTCAGCATCTGCCCATGGAGCATTGGGTCTAGAACTTCCCAAGACACCAAAACCTGTATTTGTGCAAGTGCCTTATACACAATATTGTGGTGTTAGCATGTATTCTATACCTCCCCACAGACTCTAGGTAATCTCCTGATGGCTTCTAGCATCTAATACAACATAAATGCTAAACAAAGAGTTTAACTTTATAGAACACTATAAATCAGGATGGAGATGAAGCCATGGGCTTGCAGAACTCTGGGCCCAACACAGATAATTATGAAAGGATCGTGGCTCCTCTGGGCTATCAGAGACTAAGTGTCTGATCCACTAAATTAGCATTTAGTATCCACACGGCAGATGACAACCACACTAATAGCATACAACTAGGATCTGGCTTTCTTAGAAATTATAAAGCTAGTGAGATCTGAGTCCTGGCCCTCTAAGCAAGAGTTTGGAAGTTCAAATCTGATATAACACCAGCTGTATGACAAGCTCCATGACATTCTCAGCCACTGTGAGACAAGAGCTCCAGAAAAACATCATAAGACCTGGCCACAGAACAGGGCCACAAAGCACTGTGTAGAAGCATTCTCAAAGCATCTCAACTGGAAGAGAAAAAGAGAGAAATTAATTAAAACCCCTCCCACTCAAAATTAACGTTTAGTTTCCAAAACATATGTGGAAAATGAGTGCTAAGAAAGGTTCAATAGATAAGCATGGGAGGCTGAGGATCACAAGTTGAAGGCCAGGCTGAGAAATTAAGTGATTTAGTGACTTTTTTTTTTGTTCTCAAAGGTCTGGGCAGGTAGGTCAGAATGAGAGCCTGGCTTCAATCTCCAGTACTGAGAAAGGAAGGAAGAAAGGAAGGAGCAGAAGGTGGGAGGGGAAAGGGAGAGAGAGAGAGAGAGAGAGAGAGAGAGAGAGAGAGAGAGAGAGCATAAAAGAGTAGAATAGTTAAGAGATAGGAAGGGTAGACTTTAACATATTTCTAATTTGAGTACTATGGAAGAAAGGAATCAGGAGTAAAAGTAATGATGAAGAAAACATTGTTTGAAACACAGTAGCTTAAATTGGTAGTGATGCTGCGTGTCTGTAGTCCCAGCACTATGGAATCTGAGGCAGGAGGAGTGCAAGTTCTACTCTAACCTGGGCAACTTGGAGAGACCATATCTCAAAAATTTTTAAAGATGCTTTTTTGAGGGCTGAAGATGTGATTTAATGTGAAGACAATAGATTCAATTCCTATAACTGAGAAAACAAATAAATGAGTAAAGAAAGAACTTAGAATTTTTCAGACTTAGAGAAAAATACAAGAACTCGTAACAAAAGTGCACTTTGGGTACAAAGCAGGATGATCCACATCGTAGTGAAGTTGCACAGTGAACATCATTGATAAAAGGCTAATCTTTAAAGCTATCAGAGGGAGAAAGTAGATTAGTTAGAAAAAATTAATGACTATATTGAGGTTACATCTCAAGTTTTCATCAGTATCAACAAAAATGAAGGCACTGGAGTCATATCTTAAAAATGCCACCCTCCTATAAAGACGTGTCTTGGGTTCCTTGTCTTTGGACGCGTAAGAATCGGAGGCAGAAACATTTTTGGATTTGGTGACATCTGGGCCAGCTTGCTCCCTGAAGGCTCCAGCTCAACCATCTCACATAAAAGAAAAAAGAAATGTGGAGGTGAATTTACATTCAGCTGACTCTTATTCAGGAATGAGGTATGAAGTTAAAATATTTCAAATATAAAAGGTAAGTGTCAGGGCTGGCAAGATAGCTCAGGAGACTAAGCACCTGTGTAGGCAAGCTCAGGGACTGGAGTTCGATCCCCAGCACCACATGCTGTATTGACCCCACCCCCAGGCATGCTGAGACAGTCACCGAATCTGGGTGTGGGGACCCATGCCTGTAATACCAGTGCTGGAGAGGCTGAAAACAGGAGGATCACTATGAGTCCAAACTGCATAATGAGACCCTGTACCAAATACAAAAAATAAAATAAAATGAAAGTCACAATAAAATTATTTAAAAAACAAAAAAAGAAAGTCACTATTAATCTTTAGCAAGAGAATTTATTATGTTAATTGTTTTAAATTTTTATTTAAAGTATAGCAAATTGTACAGAACTATATATGCCATTAAAATCACCACTGGCTATAGAAGAATACTTTTTTGTATTTAAAAAAACAGAAGCACAATTATAGAAAATAAGTAAAAAGTGGAAGAGGGAAGTGCATAATAGTTAAGAAATAATTATGACCAGGATAGAATTAAAATACTGAAAAAGTTTGGATTTGTTCATAAAAAGGTGTGTATGTTATATATGTATAAGGATAACCACTTAATGACTAGAAATGCATAGTATAGATTCTAACTGAGGCAGAGAAAAAGATAAGTATAAAAATGTTATCACTCCCAAAACACAAAGAAAAACAGGAAAAAAAAAAATAAACAGAAAAGACAAAAGAAGGTAACTCACAAACCTGTAAATGGATTGAAGTTGGAGACTGAATCAATGAGTACCAAAATGAATGAGAGTGATCCAGGTGTATATGTGCAATTGCTTAGAAACACAGACCTGAGTCAGTATCGTTCCAAAGACTAGAAATTAGCCAGGGGTGGTGACCCTTGCGGGCAAGCCCTATGCTTGGGGTCCCAAGCTCGAACCCAGCCTGTGTATTTCAGTGACTTAGGAAGAGTCTGTCTCAAAATAAGAAGTGAAAAAAAGGAGGAAACTGCAGCTCAGTGCAAAGACCTGAGTCCAATCACTAATACCACCAAAAAATTTAAAAATAAACAACATCCTGAAAGAACATTGAGAAGCAATATTAATATTTAACAAAATGGAATTCATGGCTAAAAGAACAAATAGGGGAAAAATGGATGCCATATACTAATAAATGGATCATTTTCCAAGATGATGGAATGATCCTGTTCTGACATCTACCTGATAACATGGTATCAAATCATTGTAAAGGCAAAAATGTACAATTTTGTATATACAGTAGATTTTTTCAATCTCCAAAAACATGAATCAAAGAGACAAAAAGTCTGTAAGAATATTTGAAGAAAACAAATATAAATTTATTTTAGAGCCTGAGCTTTCGTATCGTGCCCTGCGCTGCCCAGACTCATGAACACTACAGTCAGGATGGCTAAGGGGGACCCCAAGAAGCCAAAGGGCAAGACAACTGCATATGCCTTCTTTGTGCAGACCCGCAGGGAGGAGCGCGAGAAGAACCCAGAAGTCCCTGTCGATTTTGCAGAATTTTCCAAGAAGTGCTCAGAGAGGTGGAAGACGATGTCTGGGAAAGAGAAGTTTAAGTTTGGTGAAATGGCCAAGGCAGATAAAGTTCGCTATGACCGAGAGATGAAAGATTATGGACCTGCGAAGGGAGGCAAGAAGAAAAAGGACCCCAACACACCCAAAAGACCACCTTCTGGATTTTCCCTGTTTTGTTCGGAATTCCACCCCAAGATCAAATCCACCAACCCTGGTATCTCTATTGGCGATGTGGCCAAAAAGTTGTGTGAGATGTGGAATAATTTAAATGACAGTGAGAAGCAGCCCGACATCACTAAGGCGGCGACACCGAAGGCGAAGTATGAGAAGGTCGCGGCTGACTATATAAGTCTAAAGGAAAGTTCGATGGTGCAAGGGTCCTGCAAAAGTTGCATGGAAAAAGGTAGAAGAGGAAGAGGAAGAAGAGGAGGAGGAGGAAGAAGAGGAGGAAGAGGAGGAAGAGGAGGAGGAAGATGAATAAAAAACTTGTCTCTTTGTGAATCCCTTCGAGTAGGGGAGTGCCGTGCCTGACCATTTCTTAGGTTAAATGCCAACTGGATTGCTATCATGTAGTCTCTCAAGAGCTCCGGAAGTTGGCGGTAGTTGCTCAACGTGGCCACGGGGGTCCGGAACGCTGTGAAATTGTTTCAGAGCTGTATATATTTCCAAACATTTTCAAACTGAAAAGGCACCTTGTGTTCTCCTCGCTCTGTGCACTTTGCTGTGACTGTGAAACGGCATTTGGAGATGTCTCTGGCATTCGTTTTTTAAGTTGTAGGGTGGTGTTAACTGTGACGTCATTGGCTAGAAACCCTGAGTTACCAACTGTACATATTTAGAGTTTGTAAAAAGAGCAGAGCAACCCAGGCAAACCCTCGATGCTTCCTGCTTAGCGCTGAGGCCGTGGGGCAGATGCCACTGAGCAGGGACCTTAGACAAGTTGCTGCTGTGGCTGTGGCAGGCACCAGTCAGCTTCTGTATAGTGACCTAGTGTCCTGCTGCCCTCTCTTAGCTGGGGACTGAGAAGGTCAGCTGGCATGAGAAGTGTTTGGATTCATTACTGGCTTTTTTGTTTTTTTTGGTTTTTTTTTTAGTTAAGTGCTAAACTGTTTGATTTCAAACTGTAGAACTCTTCATTGGCAAAGAGTCAGAGAAAGTTCAAGATGCTTCTGTATTTAAACACGATTTGCACTGTTGTGGTGTTTTTCTGTATGTTTAGAACGCTGAAATGTTTTCCAAGTTAAATAAACAGTATTACATTAAAAAAATTCATTTAAACTTTATATAAAACTGCATCCAGCAGAAAAATATGATTTTTTCCTTGTTAGAACATTTGTAAAATTAGCTATCCTATGAAGAAAGTTTCAACTTTTTAATCATTTGTATCACACATGTTTTTTTAACCATAGTACGATTAAATTAGATGTCTTCGAAGAGGAGAGTTTCCAAAGGAAGGCATAAAACAGAAGTGGGGGAAAATGTATAGTTAGACATTTAAAAACATCGCCATGCTTTCTGGTTCAAGAGAAATTGTAATGGAAAATTGAAAGTGTTTTAAACTGAGTGAAAATGAAATGATTACATAAAAGTATATAAAACAGTTAAAGTTGAACTAAAAGGTATGGCTAAAAATTTTAAAAGTTTACAGAAGAAGGACAAAAGAAAAGAATGTATCATTAATTCAAGAAGCAAGGAAAAATGTAAAAGAGAAGGAGCTTAAAAGGGCAAAAGGAAAGGAATAATAAAGTAGAAATCAATGAATTAGAAAACACAATATAAAAGATTGACAAACTAAAATTTTAACTTTTTGAGTAAAAGAAAAATCTCTAGCAAGGTTCATTCAGAAGAAGGCACAAACAATATTCCAAATAACAAAAGAAACAGAATCACCCATATTAAAATAAACCACATCCTGCGAAAAACAAACTAATTTATTCACGTAAGTTTGAAAATTCAAAAGAAAGCTTGAGGTCTCTTTCATAAGGAATAAACAGAGAATAAATTCTGGGATAAAAGTGATAGTCTTAGCCACACGTCAACTTCTGTTTATAAAGACCCTCTCATTCTTTCTTCATGGATGGTTACCTTTGTTTTGGAAGAGCACGTTTAAAAATCATAACGAGATAGCCCGGTGGTCTAAAGCTCCTGCTTAGGGAAGCTTAGGCAAGCACAGGGACCACAGTTCAGTGGCTGGCACCACATGCCACACCAGCCCCACCCATAGGGCAGGCTAGGCTGGTCACACAAAAAAAGTAAATCAAAAAAAAAATCATAACTTAGTGATGTTATATTTGATCATGATACATCAACTTGAATGGAGTAAGAAATGCCTAGCAGATTACTAAAGCACCTTTCTGGGTGTGTTTGTGGACTCTTGACATGTAAGTAAACAAACTGCAGACAGAAGCATCACCACCACCACCACCACCACCACCACCACCACCACCA